TTTTTATCACATTTGAAATAGTTCTGATGATTATCTATTGTCTAATGAAGCGATGAGATCGATAGTAACAAGTGCACAAAAAGTTTGTTGTTGATGGAGAAATGTTGCATGTCTGATTTACCAAATCAGTTATCTAATGATAAAATTACCTTTACGATAATAGTAACAAAAATAGTTCTTGCATTTGCTCAGGGCATGATAGCTTTTTTTCTTTCAATGTTATCAGTTGCACGAAACTTTTTAATTATTTTCTTACACGACGAAAGCAAATGTCAGTTGCGTTACTCGATGTATTACTGTATATCTCCTCTTAAACACAGTCCAGCTCCTCTATAAATAAAAATCGTTTCAATCGTCTGTTATTTTGAATGACATGCCGTTATAAGACGCTTAATTACCTCTGGGACAGATCTGCTACGCTGATAAATATAAACTTATTACATTCAACGTTTCATTTCTGCCGACTACATCGCTATCAAAAATAGCACAAAGGTTATTATATGACCTACGTAGTCAGTTCGTATATCGTTCCAAAAATATTTTGTAATTCATAAATTTCTTTGATGTTTAAAATCACCTCGAAATCATCTTTTATACCTACTGAAATGCGCATTAACATTTATTAGAAGATTCAAGAAGAAAATGTATATTCTTTAAAAAAAAATATCAATAATTTCAAAAAAAAATTCGAGAAAGAGAACACCCGTTAGAATGTCAACAATATGTCTAATATAATTAACGCAATGCGTAGTATGGCACATTATTGCATAAATACTCTCCGAAATATTAAAGATAATTGAGAAACTATGAATTTAATTATTAGATCTGTATTTTCGTGACGAATATGACCACAAACTAATTTAGCATATTTAACAAAGATGAAGATACAAAATTAGATTCTAGAAATTGAAACATAAATAAAAAAAATTGAATCAAACTGAAATATCTAAAAGTTTTCATTCGATAAAGTGATTTCGAGCGAGTTCTTTTAACCCTTTTCTGGTATACCGAGTTCATGAGGGACCTCGAAATTGCATTTCTATTCGATTTCGAAGTAAAAATGTAATTTTTCATGTTTTTATTATTGTTTACATTACCTAAGAATAACATGACAATGGAGCGTTTATCTAGAATTACATCAATACGTTTTTTGTATTTTTTATTCGGAGTTTACCATGACACCAGTATACTAAGAATTTTTGTGAAAATCATTAATATCAGTTAAAGGTTTATATTTCTCGTTCACGCACTCTAATAAATGTGCTTTAATTAAAGTTTCTATCTAAAGAATTTCTAAGTACTTTGTAAACGAGATTTACAAATGCCTGGGAGGACAGGCATATTTACGAAGGAAGACATTATCTGAACTTTACATTGTTCTATAAAATGTCAAGACTTGTCTTTTGATGCCAGAAACGGTAAATCAAGAACTGCGAACTGACATTCACATTTCGAGGAATGGCGTGCGCAAAACTTTACCATATATGTGTACTGATCGTTGATCAATAAGTCCCCAGGGCAGTAACGTATTTAACGCTAAGGTCCCACTTTCACACATGAAATTAAACGTAACAGACATAAGATACTATACTGTAGTTGCTCATTAAGATATATAACATCGAACTTTTTATGTAATGCTGCATTATTATTTGTGAATTGTAATAATAAATCGTCGACTTGTTAATATTAATGAGGATTATATGTATACATCTGGTCAAGTAAACAGTTATTTAAATACATTAATTGTGTTGCAATCAAAATTTCAATTACATTAGCATGTAAGTGAGATATATACATAATATAAGAACGGAATAGATTTTACAGAAATTTGTGTACGACAAATATGTGGTTTTCTTTCTGTAAACAGATTGTCGAACATGCATTTATGAAACTTATGGCAGTTCATTTATACGAAGAGCTTACTTCTTCGTTTTACCATAAATTCCAGATGCCAATAATTTGCTACGTCGCTGCTAAAGGATATTTCATCGTCTGCATTGCTCATGTGCAGAACGATTCCTTGCAGCCCACAACTCTGCGTGAAGCCATCGGTGTGCCAAGATGAAACAGAACCCATGGCAAGTGCCTTTATTTTTGTTCACATTTTTTCATTGTCCTTAATTTTTTTGCGAAATTTATTTACTTTTCTCGCAAGAAGAATATAAATTCTATATTATATCCTTATAGATATAATATATATATTTCATTATATTTAAATATTCTTTCAAAAGAGTCATAATATTATCTACTACTTAGAGAAGAAAGTATGCTGTTTCCAATTAATTATTCTCTTTAAAATGACTTATTCATTTACAGACTATGCAAGTTTCGGATATATCATACGTATGCATACGCACAGATAATTTGTTTGTTTTCTGCACTGTATTATTTTTGTCTGTCTATGTCGAAACTTCATTTGAGATACACTAGTCCATCTGTTTCCATTGCGTATTTTCGCGTGTGTTTTTTCCCTAATTGTAATCATTGTTTGGAGAAAGTTTTGTTGTTCTTGTTTTTTAATTAAGTGTTGCTTCTCTCATGGAAAGATGTTATATTCAATTTTAAAGCAAATTATTCTTAATGTGTTTCAATATAAAATAGTATTTCAAACATCAGATCAAAACCAAACAAAAATCAAGACCAAATAAATTACGTAGTACATACATCATAAAAACAATCTCTACGCAGATCAGACGAACTCGAAAACATTTAATGAATGGAAGTAAAGCTGGTCTATTAAAGATTATAAAAATCAGAGTAAGACTTCGTATTCACTCCTGCAACGTGATATTATTGTTCCTATAAGTACATAATTATTCTCGTCTGTGACATTCTTTCAGTTCAATGAACGACGTAGTAAAATGAAATAATAAATTTTGTAAAAATCTAAACAGAGTATCTGCAGATACATCGAGAATCTTTTTAAAAAAAATTAGTTATAAAATATCCTATAGTTATAAAATATAATAATTAAACTGCGAATAAAAATCGTTTCCGTCGGTCTTAAGAACCGAGAGCCACATAGAAATTTCGTTCTCTACGTAACCCTCTGTGACTCGATGTAACCTTGAAGGTTGCCGATTTGTTATGTTCTTTAATTTCATTTTACACCGCAATGTTTAAAAGGAATTTGGAATTCTTTCGTTTCTCCTTCAATAATCGATTATGAATTTTCAACTTTTGCTTCACATATTACAGTAAATTCATCCTCTTCAAATTTGTAAATTCGATAATAACTTATATACAAAGATTAATATTCCCTGGTTTCGATTCGCATAAACCTTTTTATGCTCATATGAAAAATTTGTACTGTAGAAGATTAACAACTCGAATGAGATCAATGCAGTACATCGACCCTTATGAATTCTCTTAGTTTTCTTACAGTTGCAAATTGCATCTACATATTTCGCTCATATTTCGCATAAAATCCGCGGTGACAATGAAAATTAAAATAGTGGAAGAGCACGGACGACGGAGACAGATGAAGAAACGAGCGAATTATATGTCGTATCTATGTAGACAAAAGAAAAAGTGAACCAGCATTCCCGGTATGCGGCGATAGGCAGTCGGCCATCGATAAAGTTTAGTGTAATTTGACTGCTTGGTATTCTCGGTCGGAAGGGTGGCGGAGTTGAGGAAACGGGAAAGCTGGGAGCTTCGAAGGGGTGCCGACCGACTCCGATGTTCCACCGAAGGTGCACAGTAGCATTTGACGAACGTATACGAGAACGTCCGAAGCCAGGCCGAGTAGATGACGTTCCACAACGTGGCGACGATATGGCTGCGGCGTTCGATTTTCGCGAAACGAAAGCGCAGTATTACCGTCGGTCGGTTTGAATCGTTGCCCGTTCACGAGCACCGCCGACAACAGACAGTGTCAATAAAGTGTTGTGGCAAGTAGTTCGAAAAATGAAAAGACAAATTGCGCGCGCGATTTATTTTCACCCCTTCCCTCCCTTCTCTCTCGCTCTCTCATTCCCCATCTCCCTTTCATCATCTATCCCCTCCCCGCGACTCTTATGCGTTCCGCTCGGCCTGTAATCAAACGCGTCGCGCAATACCACGTTGGACTATATCATTTGTTTACATTTTTATACCGATCCCCGTCGGGCCTTCCCCGGTGATTCTAGATAAATAACAATAACGAGAGTAACAATGACACTGTAATCGAGGCGAGGCGAGGCCAATACCGAGGGTGCCAAGATGATGCACGCGGGGTTACCGACGTGTCCGTGTGTCAACCGACAGGGGAGGTTCTACACATAGATCCTGAGTTCGTTTTATGAGCAAGGATCTCGAGGAAGTGGTGTGGTACGCGAAAGAAGACTCCGCGACACGTTTCAGCCGTTTCTTCCTGCCTGTGTTGATCTACGTGACGTTTCTGCTCGTCTCATTCTCGGTTTCCGTCGCCATAGAAATTATGATCGGCATAGAAGCGATAGCGGTGTCGTCAAGGTGGTTGGTGCTGATGGCTGTGCTGGTACTGATAGTGGTGCTGGTGCTGGTGCCGCTGCCAATGGTGTAGCGCGGGTGTGCGCGCGCGGTGCTGTTTCGACAGCATACAGTGCGGACGGTAGCTTTAGACTCCGCGGAAGAAGGGCCGTGAGCTCGACCGTGCTCCGATGGCCTGATATACACTACGAAACGCGTATATGAAGCTACACTGCCCTGACTCGTCGAGTGAGTAGTTGTTAACACATATACCGATACAGTCGATTAGTAGAATGGAGATCGATGTACCACCGAATTTGTTGTCGCTGTCGTTGAAGCTGTCGTTCTCGTTTTCGTCGCCGTTTACGTTAACGTTTACCTTGCCGTTTTCGTTGCCGTTTTCGTTGCCGTTCTCGTCGCCATTCTCGTCGTTGCCGTTCTCGGTTCCAAAATACTAAAATTCTAACTCGTTTTCCGCTTTCCCGTGCAATTCTGCAGGCTGGCTGACTCGTCAGCTTCGCATACCGTCACGTAAACGCCAGCTTCCTCGTCCTTGTCCGAGTGAATCCTGTGAATATCAATGTCTGCTCTGTGTCAAGGATAGCCTGCCTGATTGTTTTCGTTTCGCATCCCTTCACGAGCTCGGTTGGTCGCCGTAACGATGAAAACCGCAGGGACGATCGAGTCGGAACGAAGGCGGTGTCTCATCGGATTCTAGAATACGATTGGTTCAGTGTTCAGTGGGAAATATCGGAGGAATAGGATCGCGGTGTGTACGTGCGGGAAGGCTGCAATAAATATCGAACACGTATGAAGCGGACAGCTAAAGTTGAGGAACGCGAACCGGGTCATGTCGCAATTCCATCCATCCAGTGTGCTCCCGAAATTTTCGCGAAGACGTGCCCGGATGGCGAATTGATTCAACTCCGGTTTCGTTTGCTCTTCGGCTGGTAGATGCCAATCGATTCGCCGGGGAAGAAATTGCACCGCGAAATTTTCTATATTTTCCGTATGCTCCGGCGTCGTAACTTGGTTTTCACAACACACCTATAAGGTTCCCTACGAAAACGTAAACGTCCAGGGAGTAATTACCGTCGCGACGTCTAGCCGATCCGTTCGTAAAACGATAGGGGACTTATTGTTATTCTACGTATATATTTAGCATGGCTATTGCTATAGTAACGATTCAACGAAAGTCGAACGATGCGAATGCACTTTCCTGTTATCGAGCTGCGCCCATCCGTAACTCTTCGCAATTGTGTTTTTCCATGGAAGTCAGCTGTGTTTACGAAGTTGTTCAACCGAATATCTCATAATACAGTGAAGGTGTGTTAATTAAACCAATTATTTTCTCTTTGAGCAAGTGCGACAGTGATCACTCGAAATTATTGATTCTACCGGGACGGCTCCCTTATTCTTGTTGTTGTTGTTGTTGCTCTAGACCGTTTCGTGTCTGCCTCGGTGGTGATTAGTTCGGCATGTTTTTGTGCAAAGTCAGACAAAGTGCAACTGTAAAAATACATCGTGCCCTAGTTGCCCACCCCACGGTTGCAGTACATCGAGCATTCTTCAATATTATATGAAGTATCTTTGTTTTCTGCGAATTGAAAAGCTATTGCCAGCACGTTTCTTAACCGTTATTAAAACAGAATTTATGGACGTGTTCCATATCTGTGACGAATTTACAAATCGGTAACGGTGATTTTCATCTTATTTTACACGAGATTGCAAAAAGGCGAAATAGCGTAAATTTGATTTGTTTATTTATTAATGCAGCGTTGTGATTAGCTTAAATCACGTTCTCATTTATCTTCGCGAATGAACGATTTTATTGTTATTACTTATCCATTGATCTCCGTTTTACTTTAGTTATAATTTAGTTGGAATGATACATCATTAGAAATGCATAAATTGGTCGAGTTCACGATACGAGATTTCATTAATATTTTTAATATTAACTATTTCAAAAAACTGACTTAACATATTTTAAAAAACTGAAAATTCGATGTTCGTACTGAATGAATTCAAAATAGAAGAAAAATTGTAGTCGAAAATTCTAGTTCGTAAGATTCGATAGATTATTATAATATCGCTTTATTTGAGAATTTACTTGATCGTGCATAAAATAAACAACCACATTTTAAATACATACAGTTTTTCTTTGTTTCATGATTTAACATACTTTTAGCTTCGTACTAAAAATACTATCACTCAATTTTGTTCTTTTGCGTCTTACTTGCGGAACGTACTACTACATACATATAGTACTGTACACGCAATATGCGTTTAATTTTAGGTTTTACATTACAAAACAGTGTTTGGTATTGGAAAATGTTATAAATATTATAAATCTGAAACATTGGAATCATTCAAATTCAAATCTGAATTTATTTATTATTAATTGGTATTGTAAAATTCATTCATTTATTATTGTTACGATCTAGTATTTGTAACTCCTATATTTGTTGCTAAGGGTAACTTTCTTGACTGTGATTCTTTTTGTTGTTTTTTCTTTTTTACTATCAGAATAAATGCATAAAAGGCCAAAATTCACCGCAATTTGTCAAGCGATTTTTATTGAATACTTCTGGTACTGATTTATTGGATTTTTCAGCATTGTTCTTTATAAACGTAATAATCACAAAGAGAGAATAAAAACAACACTGTTGTCGTATAACGTTCTTTTAAACTATTTAAACAAACATATTCAATTTTACAAGTTACGTGTTTTAGGAGAAAGAGCAATAAAGAAAAATTAGTATTCATTACA